CCGTCTGCTTGGATGACGTCTGGTGCATGCGCAAAGGCCGATAGGTGCTTCATTCAGTATATGACCTCTCAGTTCTCATTCTTTCAGACTTGGAGTAACAAGTTCTGGACGTCCTTGTTTGAGTGTAGCCTATTCTAAGGCTCCTACTCTCTGCTTGTGATGGCGTGATGTGTCTACCACGACTTTCCGAGTGGCGAGGGGGCGTACTGCCTTTGCACCCCTCTCTTGTCACCACTCCTTTTCTTTTTATCTGGAGCTTCATCAACTCCATGTCCGTCGCCATCCTTCGTATCAACTCATCATGTTCCTTCATGCGGTCCTCCAGAACCTGAGGGTCAATCCTCCATCTCTTCCTTTCGGGGCTTTGAGAGTGATGGGGGTTGTTACCTCGCCTTCCCCTAGCATCCCTCCGGGGTTCTGTCGCTGGGGCTCTAAATCTGCCATGGGAGGGATGAAAGGCAAACCTTCGCGCCTTCCACCTCCCTCTGGGGTTTTTCCGTCAATGGCGGACTGCGGAAAATCTTCATTGTGCGCCATTGCGTCTATTCTAGCGAGGGAAACTTTGATCAAGAGGTTATGTTCTTTCTGTGATTCCCACAGACAGCGCCAATTGTACGAGCACGAAATAATCTTCTCGTATAATCCTATTGATCAAGTCTGCACTCCTCCAAACGTCATCGCTTTTCTCCCTGAAAACACAAACGTGAGCTCGCCGGCGGGTGTGTGCCGGATTCCTCTCCGATGCCTAAGTCAGCAAAATAGACAAATAGACAAAAGCTCTGTATATTTGAGAATCAAAGTTGTGTTACCTCTCTATAGGTGATGTTATGAGCTTTTATAGGTTCCGCGTGGCATAATCCAAGTAGGACTCTTATTCCTCCATGCAGAGTCCTCCTAGGAATCACACTCCTGAAAGATAATGCTTATCCTTCAATACCCCCCTTACTGTTTAAACCAAGTGAGATGGTTTTACCTCGGTTGGATGGTAGTACGACCGAGCTAACCCAGCTCAGATCTTCCCTTCAGTGCCTGTACCCTGGTTATGCATACTCCAACTGGGCTGTTAACTTAAGACCGAGCTAATCAAGCTTGGTGCTCCAATGCAAAACGCCAAGCTAGCTTGGCTCTCGTTTAGTTGTACCTCGGTAGCCTGTCGAAACCGGGCTAATCTATGGCCTATTACGACCGTGCTAACCACAGCGAGGTCCACCGTGTGAAGCCATCATACCTTGGCTTCAAACACTATAACCGAACTAACTCCACTCCGACCGTGGTAACTTTTATTCCACTTGGACCGCGCTACTACTACAGTCCACTTGCCAAGCCCTTTTCTACCGTGGCCCATCGAACGGCTTATTACTCAGCTCGGCCCAATTTACTTATATAGCACCATCTAAAGGTGATCTTTGAAGTTTTAATTTCTTAGAGTCTAACCTCAGAAGTCACCTCTCTGTGATTAGGCCTTTAAATGGATAGCTAATAAACTTTAAAACCACAAAAATCACATTATTTTATTTTATATTATATAAAAAATTATAAATCAATATAATAAAAGATAAAAAATAGTTACAAATACATAAAGGTATAACTTTTTCGGTGTAACAAAATCACAACAAAAGTTGTACTTCCAACCTTTTGGTAAATATTTTCTTTATTTGCCATTATCTTATAATTTATCTTATTTTATATATTATCTTATGTGTCGTCACTACATTAAATTAATAAGTTTCATTATGATAACATTATGGGCATTGATTCAGACCTCTTTAAAACTCCTACCCCCACCACCCCCACACACACGTGGGGGTTGGGGATTGGGAGAGAAGAAAAAAAAAAAAAAATGACCAATCAAAAGCAAAGGGGGTCAAGGGGGTCCCAATCTTTATTCTAACATTATTATACAAAAATTACAATCAAAATTATTTGATAATGACATTTTTTTTTTTTGTAAATGTAAGTCATATTGATGGCCTAACGCTTAAAAGTGATAAAATTTGTAGTGTCATTTGATATTTCTGTACTAGGCTTTTTTGTTTCTATGACATTATTCCTAAAATGGGTAGTCGAAGAAGAAAATTAACCCTTCAAAAAAGGACTTGGGGATCTTGCTCTTGTGAGGTCCATTGAGAGCGTATCCTGATTTTTTTTTTTTTTGATAATTCGAATTATTCATATTATAAGATTCGTCAAGTAGATTATTCATATAAAAATTAAATAAATTGAACATTTATAATCTCATAATAAGAACATATTTATTTTTCAAAAAATAAACGGTATCATAATTTTTATATTTTTATAAAAACAATTAGGATTTGATTATAGAGTAACAGATGTCCGATTAATTTAATTTTTTATATGAATAATATACTCGACAAACCTTACCATATGAATAATTTAAAAATTATCAAAATATACTTGGTAAATACTTTTACAAGCCCTCACAGTAGCGCTGTTGTTCCATAAGCCACATAAACAACCGTCAACCTTTCAAATGGAGCACGCTCCTAAATATCGAATCATATTTTGTGCATTTATTTTACCAAAAAATATTCAACGTTGCGCTATCACTTTTAGCAAGATATAACTATATAATCATTTAACAAAAATGATGGCCCCATAACTCAACGTAAAAATAATTAAACTACTCGAATTTTACTTAAATTTAGTACATTAAAATTACTTAAAATTAAATTATTATATAAATTAGTTAATCTTAAATACATTTTATAACTCATTATTTAAATTTAAAACTAACTCAACTCATAGCCTCTGTTTGGGAAGAGGCTTTTTGGGCTTTTTTTGGCTAAAATAGCCACAAAAGACAAAATAGACTATTTTAGTCGCAACAAACAAAGCATTACATCCAACTCATAATCATTACACTATTCTCTCACAAAAAAAAAGTCAAAAAATCATTCCCAAACAAAACTTTTTAGCCCAAACTAAAATAGTCAAAAAAGTCAAAATACCAACCCACTTCCCAAACCAACCTTAAAACATTTGAAAGTAACTCAAAATAAATTAAAACTCCATTTGGGATGCTCCTTTAGACTAAAATAATTATCTAAGACAAAATGTCACATTCAAACTATAATTATTTTATTTTTCTCTCACAAAAGTTAAAAAAATAAAAAATTCTATTTTAAATGACATTTTTTAACTCCAAATTAAAATAATTAAAAAATAGGTGAATTACACTAATAGTCCCTATGGTTTGGGGCTTGTGTCACTTTGGTCCCTGACTTTTCAATTGTGACACATTTGATCCTAAATTTTGAATCTTGTTCCAAATAAGAACAATTGAAGATATCATTAGATTTTTCAAGGGTAAAATCGTCAATTTAATAAAATATAAACTAATTTGACAAAAATAAATGTCAAACAAATATTTTTAAATTTTTAAAAATTATTTCTACTGACTAAAAATAAAATTATGTAAAATTGATACATCTTTTAGATATTTATTTATTTTTTTTACCAAATTGATTTTTATTATTTGTTTGGATGATGATCATGTAAAATTAATTTTTAAAAATTAATCATGTAATTTTTATCAATTTTACATAATTTTTTCATTAGTGGATAAAATACTTTTTAAAAAATTAAAAATATTTTTTTAACATTTATTTTTGTCAAATTAGTTTATATTTTATTAAATTAACGATTTTACCCTTAAAATTAAACAATGATATCTTTAATTATTCTTATTTAAAATAAGATTCAAAATTTAGAATCAAATGTATCATAATTAAAAAATTAAAAACCAAAATAATACGAATTCTAAATTATAAAAATTATTAATATAATTTACCCTTAAAAAATTAAAAAAACTAAAAAATCAACCTACATTCCACTCTAAACTTAAAAATAAAGAACCACTCAACTCGGCTTTTACATATATGAATCCTCACAAATTTATGAATTTGACAACAAAGAATTTGATAAATCCAAGAAAATCTTTGTTTGTACACTGAAGTCTCAGAGAGTGAATCTATCAAAAACATCACTTGTCAAACGAACCCTATAGCTATGAACATGGCAATTGTGTTATGGCAGTGAAGTGGGTTTTAGATTGACAAAAATTTACCAAGTCCAAGAAAGTGTTGGTCAGTATGCTGAAATTTCATCCGTGAAGAGTGAGAAATCTATGGAAACTTTCAGCCTCTGTTTAGAGAGTGGGTTGATTTTTTAGTTTTTTGATTTTTTTAGTTATTTTAATTTGGATTAAAAAGTTTAATTTGGAAAGAATTTTTTGATTTTTTGACTTTTTTAATTTATTTTTGTGCGAGAAGAATGTAATGATTATGAATTAAATATGATATTTTATTTTTTTAACTAAAATAACTAAAAAAGCCCGAAAAAACTCTTCCCGAACGGACCCTCACACTATTTCCTAGGGCGAATTACACAATCACCTCCTATATTTTACATTTAGGCCTCATTTCTCAATAGACTAAAATAATTAAAATATTATTACGAATTATTATATCATTCTCTTTATGTTTTTTTTTTTTGTTAATTACTTAAATTTTGAGTTAGTAACGCATAATTTATTTACAAAACAATTTTTTAAAAGTTAACAAAGAATAATCACATGATAACACCCTCATACTTTTATCAAGCTCCAATTTTAGTTCCCCCATTTTAATTTTCAATACTCTTGTATTTTATCAAGATTTCATTTTAATTCTTACATTTTTATTTTCCGTCAATTTTAAAACGATATTATTCAACTGGATCCAATTATAATTTAATTCAAAGTATAAGAATTGACTAAGGCAATTAAACGATTAGAGACAAACTGAGATTTGATATGACTTTGCTTGGGAACAAGTTTATAATTGATTTATTTAGATCACATAATCTTTTTACTTTTGACACATTTTTTTATAATAAATCAAAAAATCAACTTATAAATTACTTTCCAAAACAAAGTGGTGGACAGCACAAATTTTCCTAATTTCAGTAAATAATAATAAGGAAAAATAAGATAAAAAAGATTTACACAAAAGATAAAGATCCTTTGCTTTGATTGTTATCTAATCAACATGGACGAGGACAAAAGGAAATAAGTTAGAACATAAACATGATTAGTAGATCCGATTCCATTCTCTTTACAATCCTACCACCACCACCCCCACAAAAACCACATAAGAACACCTAATTTACTAAATTTAATATTTATTATTAAAAACAAAAATTTATAATTTAAGATTTGGCATGATCTTCTTCTTCTATCTTTGTGCTTCAAATAATCCTTTCTTTTTCCTTGCATTCTTCATCAACACACCTGCACACAATCCACCTATTATGTTAAAACAAAAAAAAAAAAAGAGTTCTACATGCATGTAACTTAACTAATTTGGCACAAGAAAAGAATGATTCTATTTCTGTTTTTAGATCATACCCCATTTCCTTTTTTTAGATCATAGCCCCTTAATTTAATTTGATTGTGTTCTCAAATTTATTTATTTATTTTTGGCATGTTCTAAAAAAAAAATAAACCAATTAAAAGTTTCAAAATACATGAATTTCACATCTTTACAACTTTTTGATCTCTGTTTAGTTGAATTTTCATAACTTGTTTTCTCAAATTTTTTTAAATAGTTTGATAAAAATATGCACCATTATTTTTTAATTTTCAAAAATTATATGAAAATAATAATTTCTTTTTTTTTTCAAAAAAATTGTTTGAAAAATCAACCAGACAGATATTTTATAAAAATTTCTCGAAAATAGATTTCAAAAATAAAATGCTATTGTTCAAAAATTTTATACAAAATCATTTACCAGAAATAAGTGATGGCATTTTGATATTAACAAGCATTTTGATAAATATTTTGTTTTAAATGATAGGTTCTCAACTCTACTTCATCATTTCATTAATATTTTATGCTCGTTTTATCTGAATAATGTTACATAAACATAATATTATACAAAATTAAATGATTTAATGTGGACATTTCACTTTAAAACTAAAACTCATTTTATTTGCAAAAATAAAACTATCAAATCATTGTTGTTGTATTTTTTTTATAGGAGTATAAATTTTCTCTATGAATAAACTTTTGACTTCTAAAAAATTAAAAAACAAAAAACACTACTAAAGAGACTGAATTTTCAAAATTTTAAAAAGCATAAAATACTTTTTCAAAGCATGCATTTTTGCAGATAGATATAGACAGAGAGAAACAGAGAGTTTAAAGACAGTCAAGGAGCATCCGTGAACAAGATCAGTGATATCATCGCCGTTGAAATCCAAATCTAATTCACACCCACAAAATCACAACAAAAACCAAAATCAGATCAATTCAAATCCAATCAAACGAAGCTAAAAATCCCAAAAAAAAATTGAATTATTTGAATTATTTTCATGGCGATAAATGTAAAAACTAAACCCAATTTACCTTGATCAGATTTACAATCGCGTGGATCTTCAAACAGAGAGAGAGAGAGCTGTTTGTGAGCGAGTCCAATGTCGAACAATATGAGGCCTGATTTGGGATCATCGACGAGGATATCGACAACAGGAAGCCATAGAAAGAGCTCTTCCTGAGAGAGACCTTGGACGCCGGAGAGACTCCGGTAGGTGAGATTGGCTTTGACGACGCTGTCGTAGAAGGCCATGGTATCGAATTTGGTTAAACAGGGTTGATCGAGGTAGACCTCGAGGAGGCCTGTGTCGGAGAGAGTGTAGGACTTGACGGAATTGGGGAGGAGACCAGGTGGGAGGCCGTGGGAGCGGAGTAGCTCGTGGATGGTGGTGGTGGAAGAGGAGGAGGAGATAGAGAGAAGAGAGATTAGGGCTAGGAGAAGAAGGAAGTGAAATTGAGGGAGCGCCATGAATGAGAATGAGAATGAGAATGACAATGACAATGACAATGAGAGAGAGAGAGAGAGAGAGAGAGAGAGAGAGAGAGAAGGGGTTTGGTTTTTGGGGTTTTACAGGTTGTTTTTGGGAGTTTTGGAAATGGAAAGGCTGTTTAAAAAGAATGTTGACAGACAAGTGTTTTTTTTTTGCTAAATTGCCCTTGGTTAATGGGATCAAAATTTGAAATATTTGGTTAATTTGGTCAATGTCATTTGGAATTTTTTAAAATAGTTTTATGAACCTTCGTTTGAGAAAAAAATAATTTAACTTATTTTTTTAATTATTTTAATTTGGTTAAAAAAATAAAATTTTGACTCTTTTTATAGTTTCGTAAGAAAAAAGTGAAATGATTATAATTTTTTTTGAACTTGTGAAATGAATATGGTTGAATGTGACATTTTGTATTATTAATTTTTTAGTTTATTTTATCTTTTAGTGGACTAAATTAATCCCAACCATCTTGCCAAATGAAGGCTGAGTTTTCAATTTATATATATATTTTTAAGTGAAAATTTTAATATTTTAACCAAAAAATTTAATTTTTTAGATTCACTTAATTTAAAATCACCTAAAAAGTATAAAATTTGTGTAAAAATCTTTTAAAGATTCATTAAATAAATAAAATGCAAAAAAATATAAAAATACAATCTATTTTCATATTTTCTTGTATTCAATAAATTTTAAATTTTTTTGGTACAAATTGTATATTTTTTTAAGGATATCTAAATTAAGTGAAAATTTCACAAAAAATTAAAAAAATACGGATTAAAATTTTAAAAAATTATTTTTGAAAATTCCAAATTAAACTTAATGATTATGATTTTTCAGGGCCCATTTAGTGCAACAAATTATACATTTTTAATACTTTAAGCATAAACTTTTGACATGATGTTGCATAATAATGTTTGTTTTAAATAAATTGTAAACTAAACTTTGTGTTGTGTCATTGTCCCTTTCAATTATAGAGGTTTGGGAGTGGCAGACAAACGAGGGAGGTCACCTGTTTTACATAATATTTAGGAAACATTATGATCCACACATTTTAAAGGATATGTATTATATATATTTTTATAATTAAAAAATAATTATTATTTTAATTTTTTGAGTCATAAATAAAAAATTTATAAATCATAACTAAAATAATGTCATAACTAAATAATAAAATTGATCATAATTAAATAAGAAAATGATATAACTAAGGATACATATGGTACATTATTTTTAAAGGGATATATATTAAAATTTCCCTAATATTTAAGAAAGATGAGAGATATTTAAATAAAATTTTAATTAAAAAACATCTTGCAAAAGCAAAAAGTCGAGTACCACATAACAAGCTTTTTTTTAAAATCAGTTTATTTAATGTTAAAAATTTTAAATAAACTTTAGTTATTTTACTAAAAGTTACATTATTATACTTTCAGTTTTTCTTAACTAAGACTATAAACTGAAATAAAAATGTTTAAGACCCCCTTTTCACTCCCTTTGCTTTTGACTGGTCCATTTTTCTTTTGTTTTTTTCTTCTCTCACAATCCCCAACCCCAATCAGTCCTCAAATTGAAAGTTGCTACTTTTAAATTGCAACAAATATCTCATGGTCCTTAACTAACTTTTTCCCTATCATTGGGGTGGTTTGGGAAGTGGGTTGCCTTTTTGACTTTTTAACTATTTTAGCTTGGAGTTAAAAAGCTTTGTTTGGAAAAGATTTTTTGACTTTTTTTTATTTTTTGTGAGAGAAATGATATAATGATGATGGGTTGGATGTGACGTTTTGTCTTATTAGATTAAAGAACCTATTTTGTCTATATGTAGCTAAAATAGTCCCAAACCCAATCCAACCCATATTCCCAAATAGAGGCATCGTATACATCCTTGATAAAAAAAAAAGAAAAGAAAAGTAGATAGTTTATGAAATTTACCTCTCTTATTTTTAATGTATTCCTAATTGCATGACATGATAAAAATCTCAAAATATAATTGTGTGTCTTAAAATGCATTGAAAATAGAAAATAATAATTTTTGGGACCCTTATAAAATAAGTGAACTCTTACTTACCTATGTTAAGGAAAAGAAAAGAAAAGGATTGTTAGAAATAACTTGACTATTAACCTGTCAGAACATTCATATGCCATAAATTTATGCTCTTGAAGTTCAATTTTATATCCCATCAATTTTTACACATTTTTATATACAATTAAAGTAATTACTTCTCCTCGATTAGCATTTCCTAATCACTATGCCATTTTTAAACTTCAAATCTCAAATTTTACAAAATTTATGATAGAATGAGGAAGAAACACAGGACAAAACATAAATTTACATAAGATTGATGCCGACCATTACACAAGTCAACTACTATAAAATAGACTACTATTTAAATTATTGATTAATTGACCGATCAAACTTGATTCAATTTAAATTTAGCTTTGCATATTACTTTATCTTGTAAAGTTGGTGGTTGAAATTTTGTCAAAGAAAATTATCATAACTCTACATTAATTTTCATAAAATAATATATGAATAATTTTTTTATATTATAACACAAAACTTCAGTCAAAGAAGGAATCTGTAGGTGGATCCAAAATGTAAAAAGGGCTATTATGACAATTTTGCAATCATTTAGAGGGTTAACAAGTAAACAAGAAGTTTCATTGTTTTGTTATGATTCGATCAGCCTTTACAGAAGATTATTTGACCAAACAATTGCAAATTAAAACAAGACCCTATTGACAACTTTACATACTTTAAGGCATCATTTGACAAAACCATTGATAAAATTTTTAAATTGAGTAAATTAAAATAATAATTTAAGATTATAAAGCATAGCTTATGATTATAATAATTTAGAACAGGAAAAAGTTTATTAAAGCTGCATTTTAAAATAGTGAAAAGTTGAGAAACTAGATCGAATATCAAAACAAAAACGGTAAATTACATTGACACCCTCTGAGATTTATCTTTATTACAGTTTTTTCTTTACCTTTTGAAAATTACATCCTCCTCCTTAAGGTTTAAAGTTTCATTACAAATTGCGTCCTCTAACAATTTATTTTTTTAAAATTTCAATTTTTCCCTCACGGGATAAATTACATTGACACCCCTCATATTTTAAAAATTACAATCCCTTCCCCAAGGCTTAAATTAGCATTACCAATTGCCCCATCGGTTAGTATTAGTTGAAAAAAAAAATTATTGAAAAAAAATTTTGTTAGCCAAATTTTTAAATTTTTGTTTAAAAACCAACGTAAGATAAAAATTACACTGACACCCCTTGAGGTTTGTGTTTATTACACTCGAAAGATAAAAAATATATAAAAATAATAATTATTTTTTATTTCTTAACCAAATTAATTTTTAATTTTTAAAAAAAATTCTAAAAATCAAACCATACATAGTTTAAGAATCTTTTGATAAGACATTTTTTACGTTGGTAACTTTTTAATTATTTGTTAATTTTACGACATTTTATCATCTGAGGCCTGTTTGGTAACCTTTTCGTTTTCAATTTTCAATTTATATTTACAAAAATTTTAAAAACTGTTATAAAAACTTGGTTGATAATTTTTTTGGTTTACAAATGGTTGTCTTAGTTTGTAAGTTTGAGGAAAAAACGTAAATTCAAAAAATGAGTTTATGTTGGTTTTTAAACATAAATTTAACTAACAGATTTTTTTTTCAAATAATATTTTTTCCAATTAATTTTTTTTTTCAACTAATACTAACCGATTGGGCAATTGATAGTGTTACTTTAAACCTTAAGAAGGGATTGTAATTTTTAAAATGTAAGGGGGTGTCAATGTAATTTACCCAGCGAGAGCAAAATTGATATTTAAAAAAATTAAATTGTTAAATGGAACGATCTGTAATGAAACTTTAAATCTCAGAGAAAGAAATATAATTTTTAAAAGATGATGAGAGAAACTGTAATAAACATAAATTTCAAAGAGTGCGAATGTAATTTACCCAAACAAAAAAAAAGACTAATATTAATTGTAGGATGACTCGTGTAATTAGGAGTGTACAATTTATTTTATTTTATTGATTTCCTAACAAATTCGGGTGCCCAGGATATTAGGGATTTGGAGAACTCTCGACACGATCTAAATAATTAAACAAATAAAGAGAGACTCTATAAATACAGATAGTTAACGAAAGTAGGTCACAATCAATTAATCATTTAGTATTATCACTTACAATGCTCTATCAAAACTATTTATTTATTTATTTATTTTTTAAAAAAGTAAGGTAATCAAACTAAACAAACTCAAACCGAAGAATCCTGAAGGCTTATCTTCCATCCACACCCCTAAGCCATTCACGCGACCAACATATTTACTGTAGGTGTTTGGCAAGCTACTAGACTATGGCATGGTTTGGGAGGGGGATTGATTTTTTAGTTTTTTAATTTTTATAGTTATTTTAGTATGTAAAAAATTTTAGTTTGGGAAAGGTTTTCAATTTTTTTTGTGAGAAATAATGTAATAATTATGGGTTTGATGTGATATTTTATCTTATTAGACTAAAAAGTTTATTTTATTTTTATGGCTATTTTAGTCAAAAAATTTCCCAAACCATGTCTATTTTAGTAGGTTATTTTAATTTTTGATTATTTTAGTAGGTTAAATTTTTTTTGTTTGAGAAAATGATTAAATTTTTCTTATAGTTTAATGTGGTATTTGTGAGAGAAAAAGTGAAATGATTATGGGTTTGATATGACATTTTGTCTAATTAACAATTTTATTCTATTTTATTTTTTGTGGATTTTAACCAAAAAAATAGCTCAAAAACCATTTGCCAAACATGGAGACTTTGGCTTGTTTTGGAAAGTTGGCTTTTAGGCACTTTTTTTGGTTTGTAACAAAAGTTAAAAATTCGCTTTTTTGAATTTTTTTTTATTTGGGAAGTTGGTTTTTAGCTAATGGTGAAATTACAATTCTACCCCTCATGGGTCAAAATGTGTTACATGGTTAAAGTTGTAAATATTTTAAACTAAATAGGGATAGTTTGGTCA